ACACATATATATACACACACATATATATATACACACACACACACACACACACACACACAAACACATTTATACACACACACACATATTTATATATATATACACACACACACATATATAGGCTTTATACATTTTTATTGCATTTTACACGTGTGTATTTTCATTTTATAATATGTTAGTGTTAGGGTTATATTAATCTTAATATAAATAAATTATTAAATTATATCATTTTATTTTAAAATGTTTTATTTAAATTATAAAATAAATGAATAATTAGTTTAAAATAATAACAATAGATGAAAATTCTACTAAATATTAGATATAATATTATTATTACTTTATTATAACTACTGTTATTCTAAAATGTGGTAAACAGTAATACTAAAGAATCAAGAGTAGGTTTGTCCATTTCTGACTGGTAGTGTTTATCTTATCACTTACTTTTTTACTCTCCTCCATTTTGTGTTCAAACATAGCATTGAATACTGGCGACCTCGCTGTCAAAGGAAACACGAATCATCAGTTTTAAGTGAATCATCTGTGTGTAAAGTACTGCCAAATTCATCATGTGCCTCATTATCATTTCACTGAAATGTTGTCTGTGCAGCTTGCCTTTTTAGCAAGGCAAAATCTGGGTCTACCCCAAACGTCTGTCAGTGCCGTGTTGGGATGACTAAGCTCACCTGCCAGTATGGATTTGTGCGCTTTGAACTCTTGCCCTCCCACGAACAAGCTGCAGTCTGTGAACCTGGAGCCTTCCCACAGGTTACCCAGGTCGTCAGAAAGCTGACACTCCGGAACCTTCAGCATGTTTGTGTTCGACTGGCCAGAGATGTTAACAGAGTCCTGGACCACACTTACCTAAACAAATGAGTCACTGGTTTGAAGCAAGGACATTATTAAATCCACATATTTAGTGTACTTGAAACGTGACATGTTACGGTACCTCACAGAACAGAGTGAGCTTGTCGTCAGGAAGAAGTCCGTTAGCTTCGTCCAGCAAGAAATCTCTCCTGATGAACTTCTTGAAGCCCCAGTCTTTTCCCTGGACGAAGCGGTAGGCTCTTTGGCTTTCTGAAACGTGGGCAGAACAAAAGAAGCACAAATATGAATAAAACAGTTATTCCACATTTCCAAACTCAATCCTGTGAGTGTCTGGAAAACTCTTACCCATGGCTTTAGTTTCTTCTCTTTTGGCGTTCAGTAAAGAAAACTTGAACTTTGCTCTCACTTCACTTTTTGGGCAACTGACAAGCAATAAGTACAGAGAGAGATAATCTTTACTCTCATCATCCAGTCCCTTTGGGTTCACTCGCAAACACCTGCAGAAAAAAAAAGAAAAAAAAGGGAAGAGTAGTACAAAAAAATTGTTTAAAATCTGAAATAATTGTAATAATTTATAAATAACTTTTAATAATTTGGAAAACACTGTATGTGTCCATATAAAATAACACGCTAATTTAAATATATACTAGAGGTCAAATGCTTGAAATGATTTTTGGAAGAAGTCTCTAATGCTCATCAAGGCTGCATTAATTTGATTCAAAATACAGTAAAACAGTAATATCGCAAAACATTATCACAATTTAAAATAACTGTTTTCTATTTTAATATATTTTAAAATGCAATTTATTCCTGTGATGGCAAAGCTGAACTTTCAGCCATTACTTCCGTCTCCAGTGTCACAGAAATGATTTTAATATGCTGATTTTCTGCTCAATTATCATCAGTACTCAATTATTAATAAGGGTTCTTACTATTATCAATCTTGAAAACAGTTTTTGTTGTTTAACAGTTTTGTGGAAACTTTTAATCAAATAAACTTCTTTCAACAACATTCAAAAAAAAAAAAAAAAAACCTTAACAAAAATATTAAGCAGCACAACTGTTTTCAACATTGATAATGATAAGAAATGTGTGTATATATATATATATATATATAAAATCTGTTATGAAAAAGAGCTACATAAAATTTCTTCAGAACACCTAATTTTGTGTTACATGTAAAATAAAATCGTATGGCTATGGCTTTGGAACTACATCAGAACTATTTCTTAATGAGCAACAATATATAAGTGCAAATGACAAGTCTCGGTTAGCCTAACGCAGTACACGTAGCAAGGTGTGTGTGTGTATATATATATATATATATATATATATACACAAACAAAGAAAAACAAGTAGAATAGAAAGCTAGAGTTTTTTTTTTTTTTTTTTTTTTAAAAAAAAAAAAAAAAAAAAAAAAAAAAACCTTAATTATTCTAAACTTTTTACCGGCAGTGTATTATTTAGAGATCTATATTTTTAAACCACTGAAATGGCATGAACAACACTGCTTCTGAACATCCATTACCACACAATTCTGTAATATGTTATATGACTCATAAATTCAGCCATTTTTTAGTTTGGGAACGGCCATCGTAGGAGTAGTCACACTCCAGGACTGCGATCGGAATATCTAGATCTTCAGAGACAAAGATTCATCGTAAAAGCAATTAATCGGCTGTTAGTGACAAAAGAAATCTTTCGCAATTCTCAAAATTTGTCCCAGACGGCCTAGTGTAATCCCAACCTAAATCAAAATGGGCCACTGTTGTTTCACAAACAATGATATTTGGAAAGGTCAAGCCTGTATTTGTGCGTGTTTGGTTGGGCAGGATGGCGAGGCATTAGAGAGAAGAATTAAGAGGCCACTTGAGAGCTTTGGACAACACTCCGAACACAGTGAAACACACCATTTCATCTTGTCGTTGGGGCCTGAGGAGAAGGTCGAGCTCCTTACGGCTTCTCCCATCTCCTCCCGACAGAAGCTGAAGTTGTTAATCGTCCACATGTATGAAAACTTCACGACTTTCACCTGTGGAAAAAAAACAGAGGGATATTTATGACTGGTGCTCTCAACTCAGAACGATTAGTCTCTCTCACCTGTGTATAACACCAGCTTTCTGCCACAGGTCCGGATGTCATTTCCCCTGGGGGAGGGGGTGTGGGAACCCGCGACATGGCCTGCTTTCACCCTTCCACGTCCCTGATTTAGCTCACTGCTCGGCCTACACACAAAACCAAGACAAAACTGTGCAACTATAATCAAAACAGGTCAGTGAGTCAATATGATTTCCCAATACGAGAACTGGTTACAATCACAAGGCAGCTCTCTCAAACGTCTATAAATAACCACAAGTGAGGTACACTATTAGGTCAAAGTTTATATGTAATGGTTGCTAACAGCAAATGCATTCGATTAAAGATTTAGCCAATGTTCTACAAAGAAACTCGATTTTTGCATTTTCTGAAAAAGGAAAAACCACCACATTTACATTTATATTAATTTATCAGATGCTTTTATCCAAAGAGACTTCAAAAAGACTTTCTAGGTGGTTGCTAGGGTGTTCTGATATAGTCTGGCCACTTAGAAAAGCACAACTCTCCTCAAATTTGAGGGATCAAATCACACGTCTTGTTACACTTCAAAAGTTACACTATTGTACAACATTTTTTTTTTAATGTACATGGGTCAAAGACATTAAGATGTCCGCATCAAAAGAAATTTACAAAAGTGATTTTATGTCCATAGAAAGCACATTAAATGTAAGTAAAGTGTCTACTTTTAAGGTTTCAAATGGAGAATAAAATGTCAAAACTTGGTTGAAATAATGTTACATTGTCATTCAGTGTAACACAATATTTATGTAAAAATTCAAACAACATGCTTATTCTGACGTGTACATATTAAAATACATAAAGAAATAAGGGAGCATATTCAATTTGATTGAGTTTTAAATGAGTAAAAAATTCTTACTGACAAATGGGCAAAACCTAGGATAGTGGCAAATTTTAAAGATGTAAAATTACAACTAATTAGTATTTGGGGTGAAAGTAATTAGTCTTTTAATATGTCATAAATTGATTTTTGTTGTAAATATGCATGAAAGATTGTCACACTGAATGACATTTTAGTGGGTCTCTTCTGTAAATCAGGGGAAAATTTATATTTATTTTTTGCTCAGAAAAACAAAATTGCAATTAAATTAAACTGATTTTTTTTTTTTTCATATTTTGGGGAAAAACAACAACAATTTAAAGCAGTATTATACTTATTGCTTTTATGCTTAAACCCTTTTTCGTCTTTGACCCACATATATTTTGAAAGAAAGTCTCTTATGCTCATCGAGGCTGAATTTATTTGACCAGAAGTACAGTAAAAACCTTTCTATTTTATTACATTTAAAATGTCATGTATTCCCGTAATGGCCAAGTTGAATTTTCAGCATCATTACTGAAGTCTTCAGTGTCACATGATCCTTCAGAAAACATTCTAATATGATGATTTGCTGCTCAAGACACATTTCTTATTCTTATCAATGTTGAAAACAGTTCTGCTGCTTGATATTTTTGTGGAAACTGTGATAAGTTTTTTTTGTGATTATTTAATGAATAGAAAGTTAAAAAATATATAGTGTTTATTTAAAAAAAAAAAAGAAATCTTTTGAAACATTATAAAAGTCTTTCCTGTCACTTTCACTGAATGAAAGTATTCATTTCTTTCGACTTTCAACAACAAAAAAATTGTACTGACCCTAAACTTTTGACTGATACTGTAGATGCCACAGTAATAGAAACAGATGACCAACAGTAATAGCACAAACTGAGTAATACAAGAGGTCAATAGGAATGTATAAAGTCAAATAATACCTTGTGTTCAGAGATCAGCAGGTTGTGTTTCCATGTCATCCCTGGGCTCAAGCTCAGAGACGCAACCGTCAGAGTGACTGGAAATAATGACTAACAGACCTCAGGCTCCAAACAAGCCATCCTAAACACACAGATGCAGAATGAACCAAACATGCATCCATGCCATGAACAGCAGCAAAACTCTACAGCATTTAACTTAACGTGGAATACAAAAACACAATAACGTATAGTGCTTTCAGAATGTTCAGTACAAAATCAATCCACAGCATTTGTTGCATAAAGTTGATTATCACAGAACACAATATCAACTTGTCCATTAGTTTGCAAAAATTGCAGATAAAGGAATGCAAGCAAAATGTAAAACCATATTTTTGTTAAAATACTAATTCCTCCATAAAAAAAAAAAAACATTATTTGAGCTGTAAATTTGTTTATAGTTAGAAAACTAATTTTCTATGTGAATGAGCTGCTATATTAGTTATCTAAATAATATCTGTGAATGCTCCCATGACATGAACAGGTGTTGGTAAAGACAAAGCAAACTGATTTTATTTGGATGATTTCTGGCTGTTTTTCGACACCGGATATTGTGAACGTATGCAGATTGTGACCAGCCTTGCATCATCATGATAACACACACACAAAAAATTGATTTAACATTACCCAGACAAGAGCAGTGAGCAATTCTATCACTATTATGTATAATATCTTGAGACTATAAACACTATATATTTTAATGTTTATTCCTTGTCTCCCATTTACTTCCATTGTATGATTTATTGATTATTTATGCTACAAATGCGGTCAACTGAGAATAACTTGTATTGGATAAAACAATACAAGTTATATTAATGTGCCGGCTGTACATGACAAGTCATTATTCACCATTCTCTACACTCTCAGCAGAGACTCAATGAACCCTGGCAGGAATAACAGCATTTTAACACCACATCTACACTGGCACAGCATCAGGTTCTGTCCCAACCGCTTTGCAGCCCACACTTCTGACTATAGACATCATAACGCTCATATAGGCATCCAAATGTCGAGTCGGGTGAACAAGATGATCTAGAACTAATTGAAAAAACAAGTGGTGTTTGGGAACGTTCTGTCATCCGAGAATGTAAAGAACACAGCAAAAAGTGCAAAGGACATTATGATGTTTGCTTAATTGATGCAGAGCACAGAAACAGACAAGCCAGTAGTAGAACAGTTAAGGAGACCATCAAATCTAAAACAGCCGCAAAATACTTATAACTTCATGAAAATATATAATATACACACACACATACACAAAGAAAAACAAGTAGATAGAATAGAAAAAATAGAATAGAAAAATATAAATACATTTTTTTTAAATAATAAAAAAAGAAGATAAATGTAGATAAAATAGAATTAAAATAGAATAGAAAGTGCTAGAGTTAGAGGGTCAAATAAAGGTGGGACAGATGTGTTTTTAGTCGTTTCTTGAACATGGTTAAGGACTCGGATTGATTTGGGCAGGTCATTCCACCAGGAGTGAACAGTTAATGAAAAAGTCCGTGAAAGTGATTTTGTGCCTCTTTGAGATGGCACAAAAACGT